TTGAAGTCTTACTGTCATAATAAATGTTATCCAGAAGGATCAATTGCTGAAGGGTATTTGGCAGAGGAGTGTATGACCAAATATAAGTGAAGTGTTCAGTACTAATGACTTAGCTGAGACTTATTTGTTTGGAAGTTATGGTGAACCATTCGACAAAGTTGAAATTGCACACTTAGATGATAAATCTTGGGAACAAGCACACTGATATGTTCTTTTTCATCACGATTCAATAGATCCCTTCAGCACTTAAGTTTTACGAACTAAATCCTAATGTATTTACTTAATATTTTATATTTCTCATTCTTTAACAACATAATCTACTTTATAGTGAGTTTAAAGAAGTATTGATATCTCGTGCATGCTCTCGAAGATTACATCGACGATAGATACATAAGTTATTCATAAAAACTTTTTATGAATGATTAGGGAAAACAATAAGCAACTAAATCATTGTGCATAGTTGTAAATAATATATAACTCTTGTTTTAATATATCAACATAAATGTTAATTAATTCACCTTTCAAATGTAATAGGTTTGGAGTGGGAGAGAAGTTAGTGAATATGTTCAATGGCTTTCTCAATGTCCGAATAGAATTGTTAAAACATATAATGCCTTTTTCATTAATGGGTTCAGGTTCCACACGAAATCTCGTGAAAAATTAAGGATGACACAAAATTATGAAATAATTGTTACTTCTTCAACTACAAGTTATACTAGTGCTAAGGACAATCATCTTGTGAAGGGAGATGTAGAATATTATAGAATTCTTATGGACATTATTGAGTTAGATTATTATGGAAAACGAAAGGTTGTGTTGTTTCGGTGTAACTGGGTTAATGTAAATACTACTCGAGGAATTAAAAGAGATAAATTTGGTTTTACAATGGTGAATTTCTCTCAATTAATTCACACTGGTCAACAATTGATGAATGAGCCATATGTATTTTCTTCTCAAGTCAAACATGGTTTTTACTGTCACGATCCAATGGATGAGGGTTGGTATGTTGTGCTCCATAATAACCCCAGTGAATTGATAGACAGTAGGGATGAAAGTAGAGATAACATTGAAACAAGATCAGAAGCTTCACCTTTTGTAGCACAAAACTTAGATGAAACTATCACTAATACTACTTCATAATTTCAATGGGTTCGGGAGGACGTGGATGAAGATATTTATGAAAATTGATATGACATAACAATGTAGTAAGATTTTATATCTTAATTGATTAATTTATAATATTATAACTTATAACATGTTGTCGTTCAATATACTCATTAATAGTAATATTTTCACTAAAATTGTTGTTTGTTTGTTGCAAATATTATGCCCATGAGAAAATTAAGTGATTTGTGGATTGTTCGAGCTTCTCAAAATTAGGAAGAAACAAATAATAAGGAATCGAGTGGTGTTGGATCTTCTGAAGTTTTGAATATTGTTGAAGAAGATGTACAAATTGGAGGTAATGTTCAATAATTTATTTAATTGTTGGTTCATTTTCAAAACTTACATTGAATTATTTCTTATATAGTTGAAAATGGTCGAAGACGAAAGACTAGATGGCGTACAACGTTGAAGGCATTATAACAACTTCCTCCTGGGAATCGTGTGAAAGTTTCAAGAAACGATGTCGGTTAACCTATTGGCCCATAAGCACGTCTTCTATTTGGTTACTTAGGCATGGTTACACGTAATGCTAATCTTTTACCGATCAATTATGAGTCATGGCGTGAAATGTCAAATATTAGCAAAATTCAAGTTGTTGATTTTGTTAAGATAATAATGTCATTATAATAGATAATCCATTACAGCTCAATAGTAATTTATATTTACTTTGAAAACTTATGTTATTTGTAGGAGAAATTTTCTTTAAAGGTCTCATACAATTATTTGAAGCAAAGGTTAGGGAAGAAATGGAGAGATCACAAGAGTTATTTAAAAAAAGAAATATTTCAAAAATCATCTCATCATTGAAGAAAAACTGCAAATTATCCCACCTGGAATACTCAGGTATCAATGAAAAGATGCAATCAGGTTTTAAAGTTCAAAGAAAAGAGAGGTATGATGCATTTTTAAAAAATAATATTATGTCATTATAATATTGACTGTATAAGTACAAAATTTAAATTGTAGGACCAAGAGCATGTTGGTGTTGCTAGCAGATAACAACAAAAGTTTACTCACACAGCTGGATCGAAGAGCTTTGCTTGTATAACTAATTATGAGGTATTATTGATTATTCACATAGTGATTCACAGTTGGTATCACATAGTAACGAAGATTATTTATATTATTAATTATTTTTTTTTAAACTTAATTTTTATTATACATTATAGGAAAATGCGTCTAGTAGTAAAGTTGGAAGAATAAATCTCTTCGACATGACATATACAAAAAATGATGGTACTCTTATGACTGATGATGCTAAAGAAATTATGGTACATTTATTGGACACATGATTTGAATTATGTTATATTTATATCTATAGTATGGCATTTTATTTAAAATAATGATTGAATTGATTATTAGGAAAAATTGAGGGATAAAAAGGCGAAGTATTAAGCTACGACTTCAAGTTATGGTATTGTTAATGCGGATGAGATCGAAAATCAAGTTATTAATGAAGTTTTGGGTCTTGAAAGATATGACCAAGTTTGCTTCCAAGGATCATTCGTTATCCCAACCAAATATTTTGGATCTAATGCATCCCAGTACATGTCATCACACAATCAGACTTCCCAATCAAAAGTTAGTCGTTTAAAACAACAGTTGGCTCAAATGGATGAAAATTTTGCTCAAATGGATGAAAATTTTGCTCAAATGAAAGTCGAAACTGAAGCGAGGGAAGCAAAGAGAGAATCAACATATCAGAAAAAATATGAAGACTTTCAAAATCAACATCAAGCTATGATGCAGATAATACAAAAAAATAAACCCAAAAGTCTACCATCTTAGGTGTTATTTTAGATATATGCTTTGTTTATTCTAGTTAACAATGTTGAACTACATTATATTTCACTTTAATGTAAACTTTGATTTATTATTATGGATTTCAAGTTTGTTGTTATGGATTTCAAGTTTATTGGATAATGCTACAGGTTAAAATTTTAAATTTGAGTAATAAAAGAGCAAAAAATATCATTTGAAAAATTAGTTTTAATTAGCTGCGTTTGTATAATAAAACACCACTAAATACATAGTTAATACCGGTGTTTGTAAAACAAAATGCCACTAAAGTTCAAGATCTTTTGCAGCGTTTATATAGAAAACACCACTATATATGTAGTCAATAGTGGCGTTTTACATTCACAAACGCCACTATATATCAGAATATTTAACGGCATTTTTGGGAACAAATGCCACTAAAGAAAAGATAAATAGTTGCGTTTAAAGAAACACTACTAAAGATCATAACCTTTAGCGTCCTTTATAAAAAAATGTCGTTAAAAAACATAACTTATAGCAGTGTTTTTTATGATTTTTTATACCAAAAGGTTTTTTAGCGGCGCTTATATAACTAAAAAAAAGTCCACTAAACAATAAATTCTATGAAATGTTATAATATATTCAAATATATGTTATATTCATTTGTTGTTATAACTTTTATGATTATGTTATGTTTAAGTTTGAAATATTATACTTCGTTTATGTCTTAATTACTACATTGAGTTTCTTGAATTTAAATTTATTTTTTAATTTTTTTTTGTATAAATTTGGTCGTATTAATGTGTTCTATTTTACATTTTAAGGTTCACAAACCAATTCTTAATATTCTATTAGAGTAAATTATTTTGTTTTTGAAAACTCTTAAAAATATGACATGTACAGGTCTTTGGGACTAATTGTGTTGTGATTCCACATTTATTATGTCAATGCTTTGTGTTAAATTTATGTTATGTTTAGATAAAAAAAATTCTTTTAGCAATTACTATCTAATGGGAGGGGAAGAAGAATTTTGCTCTTAATTAGTATTGAACCCACAACTCAAGAGAGAGAAAAGACGTCAACTGAGAACTTTCAACTATCTACTTTATAGATTGTTGACATGTTTGGATAACTTAATAGTTTATAATTAATGCAAATATTGTAAAATACGATGGTATGCAAAGTGTATGCTTTAGTTTAGTATGTCCATGGTTAAATGATATGCGAATACATTTGACAATGTGTGTCATTTGATAAGTATCGTGATATGAGTCTTGCTTGAATATTAATTTTTCAAGTTTATATATTGAGGTATGTTAAAATCGAACATTAATGATGTTGTATTGACCTTTAAAGTATCATATTATGTATAAAAAGTACGCTAATTTGGTTATCTATGAAGTTGCGGTAAACTATATTAAGAAAGATTTAAAGACCAAATTTTGGATTTTTTTTAGAAATTTAATTTTTTTTATTGATTTGAGATAAGTATAAGATAGTATCTGCTCAAAGAACACTTTCAAACATTGAACGCTCACACCCTTGGTATTCCTGATGCTCGAACCTGTGACCTCAAAAGATAACAACAATTCTCTTATCATCGAGATCGTTTAATTTGTACTTAAAAATTAATTTTAAATATGAGTATTTATATAAATAATAAATGAATATTTTTTTAAAATACCATCTTAATATTTACACTCACATAAAAATATTGATATCTAGATTGAATATCGATATCATAAATTTATGTTTCTTTTAAACTTTATTGATTAAATTTTTTGGAAAATATATAAATAACACGTGCTAAAGCAATATTATTTTAATATATCATATGATATTAATATCTCAGAAAAATTAAAACTTAACATTAAAACTTATCAAATTAATTAATTAATTTTAATATTTAATTGATTCAATTCTAAATTTAAAATTTTAATTAAATGATCATTTTTAAAATTTTAATTGATTTTTTTAATAAGGTTGATATCATGTATCTTTGAGCCAATAAAAAATACACAAATACATACATATTCCTGGTTCATTTGTAGTGGGGGATTTGAAAAGAAATGAGGTACAAAGAACTCACTACAAATTCATAAACTGGGGGTACCTACATTCTAATGCCTAAATCAAACAGGACATTCATCGGAATCTTCCAAGGTTTTCGCATCCTTTTTGTTGGCCTCCCCTGTCTGTTCATTCTCTGTCTGATCCTCATTTGTCCTAACATCTGGTTTAATATATACAGCAACTGGATAAACTTCGGAGGGGCCTAATGTGCTGAGCACAACACCACCTTTCATTTGTTCCGGTAGCTTCTTTTCCCCTACAGCCGTTTCGCTGTTCCGGTAAATCGCGTACAGCAGCATCTGGAGCATCCCCAGGACGAAGCCGACCACGTTCGGGAGCTGTAAACAAACCAGAAAAAAAATCAATTTGTGGCTCTGTTGATGGATAAGATGGACTCGTCGACCGTGAGTGGTTCATCCCTTTTAGATTGAACGAAGAATCGTTGTATGTAAGATGGCTGGAAGTGGAAGAGAAAAAGGAAAAAGAAAAGCTCTCCCTCTCCTCATAATTGAGGGAGATATACAGTGATTATATCTAACGATGCCAGATATAGGATTATTATATACGACTATTTATGGGTTGACAAGTTAAATAGATTTGGTGGTTAGATCTTTGAATTTCACACATGCGGATTGTTCAGATTTTTCAGTAATTTTGTCTTTAAGAGTCTGTTTGCATATTGTAATTGATTTAAGAGATTATTGGTGACTTCTGATAGAAGAGGGTATCTAATTTCAGGAGAAGGATCCCGTAGGTATAACAGGCTCAATGTTGAAAGTAATGTAAAAGTAATTGAACAAGACAACAACTTACAGCTACACAGAAGTCCTTCATAAACAATCCATAAGTGAACCACATTACTGCACTTATTGTTAGGAAAAACGACAAGTTGAAAGGCATGAACTCAACGCTCTTTGTTCGAATTACCCGAGCCTGGGGATAATAAAATACGACACGGTTAATAACTTGAAGAGATTAATGTCCAAAAAAATGGATCATTACAGAGTTTTGTACTGACCACAATGTTCAAAGGAGCTGCAAAGACGCATATAGAGAAAGCAACACACATCCAACCAAGAACCTGGATACGAACTGAACCTTTCACCAGGAAGTGTGTGAGAATCAAAATCAATGAGAACAACCCAACGTTCAGAGCTACAAAAAGTTTTATAGCATATGCCTACAATTTCAAATTCAGAATTAATAATCAAATTAAATCATTGAAGAATAAAAAAAAGATGAATCTGATGATATGAATTAAGTACCCTGTTGTTCTTGGTAGCATAAGTTATGAACATAGATATGTATATAGTTTCCACAACACATCCAAAGGAGTTGATGGTGATGAGCAGGAAAGCATCTTTTTTCATCAAGGCGTAGTAAAGCCATAGCATGGAGCTAAACAATGCCACCTCGTAAGGCAGTGACTGGAAACTCTCCGTTGATTTCTTTCTGTATATTCTGTAGAATGTTGGTCTGAAAATTTTATGCAGAAAACAAGGGTTATTATTATTATTATTATTGATAGATAAAACTGAAACCGTTGGTTTTGATTTAAAAGAGAAGATGAAATTCTTTCAACAACAAAAAAATAAGATGAAATAGAGCGATGCTTACACTGGAGCCAGGTATACAAGGACTGAGATGATGTTACCTGCAACCAATTGCAAAAGAATTCATTAGTTGATTTGTATATTAATCAGAAACTTCTGGTTGCTCAACTAGAAAAATGCATTCATGCAAATGCACATCGGTATTGTTTCCACATAAATGAATAATTTCATATGATTGGGAAGGTGGATCTTAGGTGTCAACACTAAGCGAAACACGTCTTGTACCTTTTTGTTAAAAACCAGAGGCCACTTTGAACCACGAAGAAAGAATAAAAATAGTACGTGTATTAATTAGTAGTTTAGCTTAACCAAATAATGACCAAAAACATCCAGAACAAGGCAAAAGAATGAAGAAGCTAAAGCCCTAGCGTAACGTGTAAAATATATATTGCTTAAAGAGAGGAGAAAAAGGCTTCAATGAGCTCTCTCCAAAGAACAGAAAACTAAAGCCAAGAAGATAGAATACAAAGCCAAGATGCCAGCATTTTTTGTATTGATTATTACCTAAGACTCCGAATGCAAGTGCCCAGGAATGGTGATCTGCCATTTCTTTGTATTAAACGAAGGAGAGAAAGAGAAATGGTAAACCCTAGAGCTCTCTCTCACAAACTCTTTATGAGGGTTTTTGTCATGAAGTGAGAAGAAAGAGAAGAGGGGGTTTATATAGAGAGACGAGTGTATGCGTGGTGAATCATTGATGCAAAGCACGCACAGTGTATGCGTATCAAACTCCTCCTGCTTGCATGACAAGTGGAAACATAGTAGGTAGCTTCGCATAAAATCATTTATACTTTTTTGGTCTTACAAAATTCTCCCATGTGCCTTATTACTCGCGTGCCCTTCGTTCCAACTTATTTGGCAGTTCATTTCCTATCCCCATCCTCACCCTCACCCCCACCCCCACCCCCATACTAATACATTATCAGTAGGTACGGATAATCAATAAAAAAATATAAGAAGAAATCTAAAATATAAAAGAACTTAAAATTTTTAGGGAGTACAATCGTATCCCAACACTTCTCTCAGTTCATCTTTGATTATTAGTATATAATTATATATATTAATATTCAATATATAAATATATAAATTACTATGTGTTTTGATAGGTTAATAAAAGATTATTAATATTAAGATAGTGGTGGACACGCGCCGAGAACGGCACAACATCAGCAAAAAGAGAGTTTGTAAGATAGTAGAAGAATTAATTTACGTTACAGAGTGACCGGAAAGGTGTCCGTCGAAAAGCCGAGATTCAAGTGAAGTAATGTAAACACAACCTTTGGTTCTGTTTAAGATGACATTATAATAAGTTAAAAGACACAAAGTGGAACACGCTCATCCACGTCAGCCCTAATTAATTCATCTCTCTCAGAAGTAATATCTTTTGGTTGGATTGCGTTTTGATGTTGTGCATGGCAAGGGTTTCGTATGGTATACGATAATCTGAGACCCTTTTTTTCTGTTTTAAACCTTCTTTTCTCTACGCCTTGCTATACGAGAAAGAGGTGAAAAGCGTGGATTTGGACAACAAACCATATTGTTTTCATATTAACAGTGGTCAATAAGTAACATGTTTTTTTATGATGCAAGCAATTGAAGTTATAAAACAAAGTATAAGAGGGTTTTTTTAGAGTAACATGTAAGTTTTTGTTAGATTATTAGTATTTTTTTTTTATTTTCTATGAAAAAATAACCTCATATATGTGTCTAAATAATTTCGTGATGCATCATTATTTGGTAATGCACCAAAAGGATAATATTCTTCCCTTGCGATTAGACGTACAAATAAATAAAAAAATTTCGATCTTGCAATGTTTCAGAAAGAAATTATTAATGACGTTGTAATTTCGTCGTTTGAGTGTATTATAACATTGGAATTCGTAGTTGTACGTAAACGTGTGTCGACAAAATGTTACATCGCTTGGATTTCTAGGATTGCTTTAAGGTTTCCTTTTTATGGAACTTTATGATGTGAAGCATTCATCACCCACCAAATTAAATTATTCCAGATGATGCCGTTGCTATTCATAGCTCTCTACTCATTCATTCATACATACCGACAAAATTTAAGATTTTCCTTAAATAATCTCCCTCTCCGAATGACATCAAATACATATGAATGATATATGAATTTGGTATTTAAGTTTTTTTTTTCAATTGGGTACTTGAACTTAATTACTTGGTTCGAATTGATATATGAACTTGATTTTTTATTCAAATCCTTTTTATGGAACTTTATGATGTGAAGCATTCATCACCCACCAAATTAAATTATTCCAGTCCAATGATGCCGTTGCTATTCATAGCTCTCTACTCATTCATTCATACATACCGACAAAATTTAAGATTTTCCTTAAATAATTTCCCTCTCCGAATGACATCAAATACATATAAATGATATATGAATTTGGTATTTAAGTTTTTTTTTCAATTGGGTACTTGAACTTAATTACTTGGTTCGAATTGATATATGAACTTGATTTTTTATTCAAATTGGGACTTGAACTTGATTTTTGCTTCACATAAGTGCTTATCATTTCTAATCAATTTGAATTAAAAAAATTATGTTCATATGTTAATTTGAACCAAAAAGCTAAATTTAAATATCTAATTGAATAAAAAAAAAGCTTAGTTATCAAATAAAATAGTAAAGTCGAGTTCATGAAACTAATTAGACAAAAAAAAACTATGGTATTATTGAATCTAACCTTAAAGCAAAATTCAAGTATCAAATGTGTTGGGAAATAAAACGAGTAAATTCCCTATAACCAGGTTAGTGAGAATACGAAATAAAAACAAAAAAATAATACCCGAAATTGATAACGGAGTTCGGCCAATTATGCATACGTCTCTAGACTGCTGCAGATCTTTTACTAAAGAGAAAAAATTTACAAGTGCTCACAACTCACAAGAAAACTCTCTAAACTCTTTAGTAGTGGGAGAAAGAAATGATTTTGGGATGATTTTGAAGCTAAATGGGTTAGGGTATTTATAGTTGAAGCTTAAGGACTAATCTTATAAATATTCTAAAGTTTAGGGACTTAATTTGGTAATTATCCCTTCCATTTTCAATAATTCCATGCTGTCTAATTTTGACAAATTAGCAGCCCCATTTGTCATTTAGAAAACAACCGCCCCATTTGCATTTAGAAAACAGCTGTCCCATTTGCATTTAGAAAACAGCCGCCCCATTTGCATTTTTATTATTGAATTTCAACAATCTCCCACTTGAAGACTGATTTTAATCTGTCTTCACACCTCGATCAATGCAGCAGTATTTCTGGTCTTGTTATTCTATCATGCCAACTGAAGATGAACACAACTTCAGTTTGTCCGTAGTCACCGTCTTTGTCAACATGTCTACCGGATTTTGATATCCTCTAATATTTTCAAGTTTCAAAATCCCATCTTCCAGAAGAGACCGGATAAAATGATATCTCAATTGTATGTGCTTCGTCCTGGAATGAAAAGAATGATTATTTGCTAGATAGATAGCACTTTGACTGTCGTAATACTAAGACATTATTTTCTTGTTTCTTGCCTAACTCTTCCAAGAAACATTGGAGCCAAACCATCTCCTTGATGGCTTTCGTAACAGCGACATATTCTGCTTTAGTTGTGGAGAGAGCAACTATCTTCTGTAGTTGAGAAACCTAACTCATTGCGGTTCCTCCTAGAATATAAACATACCCTATAGTGCTTCTTCTGATGTCAACATTTCCGGCTAAGTCAGCATCTACATAGCCTATCAGTATCGTATCTCCACCTTTGAAATAAAATATTTTGTTTGTGGTACCCCGCAGATATCTGATGATCCATTTGACTGCTTCCCAGTGTACCTTGCCTAGATTATTCATGTACCTACTAACAGCTCCCACTGCTTGAGCAATATCTGGTCTGGTACAAACCATGGCATACATCAGACTTCCAATTGTTGAGGCATACGACACCTTCACCATGTGTGCACGTTCTTCCTCCGTCTTTGGTGACTATTCTTTGGAGAGTCTAAAATGAACACCTAAAGGTGTACTTACTGGTTTAGCATCTTGCATGTTGAACCTGGAGAGTACTTTGTTGATGTACTCAGCCTGTGATAACATCAAAGTCCCTGAATTTGTGTCTCTCTTAATCCTCATCCCAAGAATCTGCTTTGCAACGCCCAGATCTTTCATTGCAAACTATTTTGACAATTTTTGCTTCAAGTTTATAATATCGTGCATGTCTGAGCCTGCAAGGAGCATGTCATCAACATACAACAATAAAATAATGAAGTTGTTGTCGAACTTCTTGATGTAGAAACAATGATATGCTTGGTATCTGGTAAAACCACTACTACTCGTGAAACTATCAAACTTCTTGTAGCACTGTCTAGGAGCTTGTTTTAAATCATACAATCTCTTCTTAAATCTGCATACCAGGTTTTTCTTGTATGCCTCTATGAAGCCTTATGGCTGTCTCATATAGATTTCCTCTTCCAAATCACCATGAAGGAAAGTTGTCTTTACATCTAACTATTCAAGATGTAGATTCTCTGCAGCTACAATTTTCAACACCAGTCTGATTGTAGACAGTTTCATGACTGGAGAGAAAATTTCATTGTGATCAATACATTCTTTTTGTTGAAAACCTTTGACAACCAATCTTGCTTTATAGTGTTTGCTCCCATCGTGCTCTTCTTTGATCCTGTAAATCCACTTGTTATAGAGCGCTTTCTTGCCTGGTGGTAGTTTAGCTAATTCCCACGTCTGATTTGATATAAGCGAGTCCATCTCATCTTTCATGGAAGACTCCCACTTGACTGAATCCTTCATCTGCATTGCTTCATCATAACACTCTGGCTCACCATTGTCAGTCAGCAACAAGTAGTGCAAAGAAGGTGAATAACGCTGGTTGGTTTAGGAATTCTGGAGGAGCGACTCAGTTCTGGTGTGCTTGGTTCTTCTTGAACTGCTTTAGGACTGATCTGAACATTATTTCCAGAAATCTCCTCAAACTCAGCAAATTCATTTGTTTCATCTTTGATATTGAAGTTACTTGATTCTATGGTTGACATATCTTTGTACATCACATTCTCATTGAGAATGACATCTGTACTTCTGATGATCTTTCGATTTTCGTAGTCCCAAAATCGGTAATCGAACTCATCACCACCATAACCAACAAAGACACATTTGTTGGACTTGGCATCAAGTTTACTTCTTTCAGCAGAATTTATGTGTACATAAGAAATACACACAAACACTCTTAAGTGTGAAAGGTTTATTTCTTTTATGCTCCAAACTTCCTCTAGTATTCTGCAATCCAATGGAACCTAGGGCCCACGGTTGACCAGGTAAGTTGCAGTGTTGATAACTTCAGCCCATAGCAATTTGGGCAATCCGACATGTATCCTCATGCTTCTGGCACGTTCATTCAGAGTTATGTTCATATGCTCTACTATGCCATTCTGTTGCGATGTCATGGGAATTGTTGTCTCCATCTTGAACCCATTGTTTGCGCAGAATTCTCTGAATCTACTATTTTTGTACTTTCCTCCATTATCAGACCTCAACCGCTTGACTTTCAAACCAGTCTCATTTTCCACCATGGCCTTCCATTTTTTGAAAGTATCAAAGA